ATAATTATGCCTTAATTAGGTAGGTAATTACTTCTAATTGTCTTATATTATTATAATTAAAGGTAAATTATAAAGAGGCTTTAGTTTAATTAGAAGGTAGGTATAAGTATAAAGGATAAATTCTATATGTCTATCTCTAAACCTATTAATACTAACTTATATCTTTATACTTAATTAGGATTAAAATCTTCTAATTAGTCTATATACTACCTCGCTCTAGGCTAATCGCCCTACCCTACTCTAATACTAAGACTTAATAAGTATAGCCTAGTTATAAAATAACCCTAGCTAGTAGAGGTAGTAAAAAAGCCTATAGTTAACTATATCTATACTACTTTTACTAGCGTTAAATATAGAAAAGCTTATAATAGCCTTTTTTTATACTATAACTACTTAGATATAAGTAGTAGTAGTACTAGTAACTACTATAGCTACCTTAGGTTATTCTTTAGCCTAGCTATAGACATTATTTACTATAGAAATCTTCTAGCCTAATATTAACACTAAGAGGTACTTACTAGACCTTATTTTTTATAACTACCTTATAATATATTACTATAATATAAAGCTCTAGATTTAGGTAGTTAAAGTAACTTATAAAGATCTCTTATCTTTATAGTAATTTTATTAAATAATTAACTAGTACCTTTATAAATAAGTATAAAACTAGTAAGAATTCTAACTTACTAAAGTAAAGTAAAATATCTTTAAGTAAAAAGGTTAGCTAGTAATCTTAAGGTAATTTAGGTACTACTTTAGACTAACCCTTATTAAAGTAAAAAAGTAGTTCTATAAGAACTACTTTACTACTAATAAGATTAATAAGTAGTATAATATTTATACTTTTACTTAATTTTACTTTAGATATACTAAGGCGTAAGGTAACTAAACCTAACGCTAATAGCTAATAAGGTTTTATAATAACCTTATACTATAACTATAGTAATTCCTTTATAAGCCTAAAGACTATAACTCCTTAAATAAGTATATTACTTTAGCTAAAGAAAAACGCTAAGCCCTTTAGGACGCTACTTTACTATTATAAAGCACCTCTATATACGCTAATAATATAAGTACCTAAAGTAGTATAGATAATAATATAGTGCTATAAGGAAGTATATTAAAATAACTAAAGAACTATAACCCTTAAAATAAAGACCCCCTAAAGACTAATAAAGAAGATATAGCTTTATAAGAATCTAATAATAATAATAACTAGTAGTAATAAGATAACTACTAGTATAAAGAAAACTCTTAAGGAAACTATAAAGAATACTAACCTTATAGTAACTAATAGTAAGAGTATTACTAGGCTAACTTTAAGTATAAGGCATAAGACTAGTAACCTAAGTAAGAACCTTAATAAGAAAGTAAATAGTAAGAGTAAGTATAATATATATAAAAAACTAAAGGTAGAGATAAAGTGTAATTTATCTAGAAGTATAATAAAGATATAGATATTAAAATTAATAAGCTTATTAATAAAAGGTATATCCTTAAAACTACTAAGAAATTCCTACTAATAATAATAGACACTATAAACTTTATTATACTACTACTAGTTAAGGTTACTATAGCCCTAACAGACTATAAAGAGATTACTAAAACCCCTAAAGATATTACCTTACGTTAGGATAAGATTAAGAAGTACCTTACTAAGGTAACTAAAAGTAATAATAATATAAAGCTATTACTAACGCTAGGTAAGGCTATAACTTCTATAACACTAGAACCCTCTAAAAAAGCGTAATATAATAAGAATATAGTACACTTTACTTTTTAGTTAAGAGAAGTAATTAAAGCTAGTTAAGAGAAGTAATTAAAGCTATTATAAAACCTTATAAAAAGAGAAACTAGTGTAAGTATACCTACTTATAAGTAAAAATCTAAGTAAATAAGAACTTAAAGGAAAACGCTATATACCTAGATATAGGTATATTAGTTATCCTAGTAGACTATAAGTAGGTAATAAAATTTACTAAGAACCTATAATTCTTTATAGTAAAACTATAAAAAGTAGGGGTAATAGAATTATTATTTATACTTATAGAGAACATTACTTTTAATATATACTTTAATAAAGTAGTAAAAAGCACTAAGATAAAGGTCTATACTATAATTACTACTAAAGTAGTTAAGAAGCTTCTAGCTTAACTATTACTAGGCACCTTATTTTATAATAACTATAAAGTAGTTATTAACTTTAATAAGAAATAAGTAAAACTTTACTTTACTTATAATATAATAATACTAGTAATAATAAAAAGCTATTTCCTTATAATATAAAGAATTATAACGTAATTTACTATAATAATCTAGCTAAAGTTAATATACTACCTCCTAATTAACTTTATTAACCTCCTTAATAAATATAATAATAATAAAAAGCTATATAAATACTATATGTTCTTAATAAACACTTACGTCTTAAACGTAATACTAGATTTATTATTTACTAAAGTAGTACTAGTTTATAATAATATAGATATACCTATTATTATTAAGAAAAGCACTAAGGTTATATAAATCTTACTAGTCCTAAGGGAAAAAAGCGTATAAGCTATTAATAAAGGGACACTAAATACTATTACTAAAAGTAACTTTATTAACTTTATTAATATTACTAATAACTTCTTTAATATAAAAAAGAAGTTTACTATAAGAGCTAAAAAAAAAAAGAACTACTAGATATCCTTATACTACTATAAGAAATACTAAGATATAGTATATTAAAGCTAGATAAACACCTTATAATTATTAACTACTATAGTATAAAAATCTATACTAATAACCTTAAATTTACTAAAAAACTTAAAAAGCTTTTAAATAAATATAATATTTACTATAACTATAGGTTAATACTTATACTAAATAAAGATAAAATATAAATTAAGCTCCTAAATAAATAGTAAAACTAAAAGTAAAACGTCTAAGTATTCCCCCTTAGCCTTAAGGATATAAAGCTTATTAATAGCTAGAATAATAAGTAATATAAAATTAGTAAGATAGGCTAGTAATAACGCCCTATAGCACTTACTTATCCTCTTTTTATTATATAGAAACATAAGGAGGATAAGATAAAACATAAGGGGCGTATAGTAGTTAATATAAGGCTACTTAATAAATAGGACTAAGAAATGCGACCGTACAAAAGAGTACGCAGGTCACCTGTTTTGTTACTGCAATTGAATGGTTACACACTTATAAGGGCAATTGATATCTAACTCTAATTAGTGTTAGTTATTACTAGGGTGGTAATACAGTTAACTATATATATTAATAGGTAATAACAAATAATAGGGGTAAATACTGGTTCTGAATTATGCGTAAAGGAAAGGAAACTATTGTGGGATTACGCGGCGAATCCACCGCGTAATATCCCCGTGGATCCGGTGGATCCATAGCGAATTGGCCGTAGTTATTCCGGCCATTCGGCGTTAATCCATACCGCCGATATCCAAGCGATGGTCAACATCGCAACACTATCACTTTTTTTTTTTAGTGAAGAGAGAGCCGGAGTCTGGAACCAAGGGCAAGATTTCCTTGGGCGGAAGAGAATAGTCTTTCATAACTGAAGGTATAGTAACACTCTTTTTCACTCCCTTCTCAGAGAGGACATTTAGTGTAGCTAGAGACTAACTGAAGCCACTGGTAGTATGTTACATATGAATATAATCCTAAGAGGCTGTCCACTTCATAGCCCACGTAACCATTGTCTTATGCCACTGTGCTAAGTTTGCTGGCTTACTTACTGTATGGCCCTCGTCAGGAAAGATGAGAAGCTGAGAGGGAACACCCCTGATCTGACATGTATGATACGCCGCCAGTGCTTCGGAAACCGGTACACGATAATCATTATCACCGTGGGTGAAAAGCATCGGCACAGTCCACTTCTCGCAGAACTTGCTAGGATCCCATCTATCCCACTCCACGCGGTCCTCCCAGGGGAAGCTTCCGAAGTCTTCGCGGTAAATCAGCGGAAAGTCTCCGGCCATCAAGTTACGGGGAGAGAAAACGCCGCCATGAACAATCAGGGCGCAAAATCGTCTGGAAAGCTCTTGCCCGGCAAGCCAGTTGATCAGGTATCCACCATAGCTGTAACCCGCACCAATCACTCGTGATAGATCGGCAAAAGGCATCGAGTCCTCGAGAAACGACAATAAGTAGCCCAGATCCTCCAGCGGATAGCCTCCCCAGTTTTTGAAAATGGACATTGCGAAAGGCAGCCCGAACCCCGTCGAGCCGCTGATATTAGGGGTGATAACGACAAAGCCCCTAGACGTCCAGGGCAAATGGTTCCAGGTTGCCAACCAGCAATCCCTCCACGCGTCGTTCGGGCCACCGTGCACCATTATAGCAACAGGGTATTGGTTATCCTCTGTAAAATCAGCGGGTTTGTGGATGAAAGCCTGCACCATAGAGCCGCCAGTAGAAGGGAAGTAGAATCGATCTGACATTGATGGCGCCTGCGGAACGTAATATTCATCGATTTGTTGAATTTGAAGTTGTGATGTGATGTCTTGTCTGACGATCTCAACAACACATGCCCTCTGGAACGTAGACCTCGAGATGAGAAGTTCGTCTCTGAGGCTGGACGTTCCTAAGCAGGATAAGAATGTGGTGGATCCATGTTCGAGAAGCGGCTTCGCCACGGCTTCGACGTCACCTTGGGACTCTTCTGGGAACATCTGTATTCTCCAAACACCCATCTGCCCCTGTACATCGACTACAGCATAGAGGACGTTGAAGTTCCTGACGGATCGGCAGATCGAAACGATCCGAGGATGCCATACCTGAGGCTCGCCGCTCTCAGAGGGCTTTGTAATGTTGACGCGGCGTGTTTCTGCGGCCCCCTCCAGCGCAACGTGAAGAATTGAATCGTGGCCAAAACAAACATCCGCCCGTTCCGACATCAGGAAGACCACGGACAACCCATCCTTGGAGAACGAGAACGAGGTTGGGGTTCCTGTCCACTTCTTCCAGCCGAGACTTTGAGGTGGAGCACTCCTGCATATGTTTTCCCAATCCATGCGGAGGAAGTATAACTCGTTTCCGAGAGGGTAGCTTTCATGAAAATGGGGACTGGCCGCACGAAGTATAAGCCCATGTGGACCGACTTCGAAACAATCATCCACCGCATGCAGGGGTGTTCCTATGCTTAAGTCAAGGCCATCTAGAATCGACTTGGGGCCTTCCATGGACGTTTTGTACCAAGAGCCGTTCTTTGTGATCAGTGTAAGATAGATCTTTGGTTCACATCCATGTTCAGCCAGATACGAGCGACCAAACCGAACAGGGAGGGAGTTGTACAACCTCCCAGAGCCCTTCCGATTGTCTTCGCTGGGGTTGTCATTTGATGCAAAGACCAGCGCAAAAATTGTCTCCGATACCTTGTGAGATTTCATATTTGAAACGCCTGGTAATAAACAACCGGCATTGCGTGGTCTTGTCATCGCTTATAGGTTAGCCAGCTGGGAGCAAAGATACTTGGCGGGTCAAAATCTTACATTCGATCCTGGCTGGATACATCGAGTGACCATATACTAGTCTTACTCCCATCATTGCTTCCCCAGAGCAGAACGGATTCTTCCAGCCAAATCGGAGACACATCTGCATGTATGTGGGCGAGAAGGAAGGTTTCTCCAGTAAGCGTCGTCTTAACAGTATACACTATGTTTGTTGCATTGCATGCTGTGTCGTAGATGCTGTCGATCAGGAGTATGTAATGACCGTTGCAGCTGGGAATAACCCGTAGCCTGCGGGGAACTTCAGAAAGAGCTTTCTCCATAATGTGAAGATTCCTAACACAACTCGTCCTGGTGGAGAATATGATGCTAATAAAGACGTGATACCGGAGTGTCTAAAATACTAAGGCAATCACTTTGAAGGCAAAGGCTATTATCAGGCAAAGGCTATTATCAGGCCACATTATAACTAACGTTTGAGCTAGAGAATTGATCACACCATATTAGGTTACATTACAACATGTAGAATAACAGTCTTAGTTAGGTAGACTTAGTTCTTACAGATATTATAAAGCTGTTTCATGTTGTTACATTGCGGTATGTTATTAAGTTGCGTCGAATATCTTCCCGCGCAATAAAGTTCAATATTGCTGTGCCGCTAAATCACATATGTAACCCAAAAGTGAAATTAACCGATAGTCGATTACAATTCTCATGTAGTGTAGCCTAGGATCAAGTGCAACAGCCATGTTGTTAGGTACAAGTTACTAAACCTTGACGAAGTGCCGACAAAGCGGATAATCCAAAGCGGCCAAACAGAGTAAAAGAATAAACCAATAGACTGCTTTAAATAATGAGTGTTCTCTATATCATCAGTAGTGAAGGAAATGATATATCTTTAGGAGTTTACCTCGGTGTTTTTTACAATCTCATGTTTCTAATTCCAGCCTAAGTGGTTTAACATCAAACATCTCTATACCTATCTACATCCTACACGCAGCTTTAACAATGTCTTTCAAGGTAACTATCACACTATTTTCTGGGTACTCTTGAAGAGGTAGAATCTCTGATAAAGTTCAGTACGCGGGTGTAAAATCTGAGGACACCGTCTTCATCAACGAGGCTCAGTATACTGGCGTGAAGTCCGAGGACACCGTCTTCATCAACGAGGCTCAGTATGCTGGCGTGAAGTCCGAGGACACCGTCTTCATCAACGAGGCTCAGTATACTGGCGTGAAGTCCGAGGACACCGTCTTCATCAACGAGGCTCAGTATACTGGCGTAAAGTCCGAGGACACCGTCTTCATCAACGAGGCTCAGTATGCTGGCGTGAAGTACGACTACAATATTTGATCTAAACGTCTATTCTCAAATAGTAGAGATTGCCACGGAATGTACTCTTGAAATATAAAAACTATTCGGCTAACTTTTATTTTGTGTGATATTATGATGTGATGTTTAGAAATACAACTGAACTGATCTGGAGATCAGTGGAGTTACTGATCGATCAAAGGAGTCCAATAAGTAGTCAGTACCAACGAGGTTGGACTATCACGACAAAGGCATCAGGGTCAGGACTCGTATATAGGATGGACTTGAGCACTTTCAAGGACAATTTCCATCACTTTTCAGCAATCAACTTGTGATATATTCTCCGAATGCCTTTTTAAAACTAGCTTTGTTACAACTACTAAAATTCTGATTGAGAGCGTGGTTGTAATAAATGTGTTAAATAGAGACATTCTTCAAAACTCATTCATTGGATACCACAAGAACCCGGACCTCAATACTTTCACGTGGTCTTGAACAACTTCGCGGATCGTTCCTCCAGAATGCTGTGTGGGGGCAATCTAGAAGTAGGTTAGCCTCAGTCTGGCCGTAAAGGGTTAACTTAGGCTATGTAAAGACTTACAACGAGTGTTTGAAGATTCATTTGTATCATGCTGCTTGAACAAGAGTGCCTCATTAGGCTGCTGGTTACTAACCCAGTACCACACCTGTTCTTTGCAAGGGGCTGCGTAGTTTGTCTGACTAACATAATCCGTAGAGATAATGAAGTCACCGTGAATGCATTTATCATGCTGAACCGTGGACGCATCGCAAATAGCGAGGCTGCAATCCTCGACGGGATGATTTCGCGGTTTCCACACACTGATGATTGTCTGCGGTTAAGCTCGGCGAAGTGTAATAAGACTTAACCTCTACTTACTTTATTAGGCGAACACGCTTTGACTGTAGGATCTCCTCTGCTTCTGATCCTAGAACAGCACGAACCCGTTTGTCGCCGCCGTAGTAGTTACAATCTGCCGTCGGGGAGATGAGCTTGACGCCAACTGCTTGAAGAGAACCTCCTAGAGCTATGCATCTAGTCTTACCGTTATGGACATATGTATCCGGAGCAAAGCCTTTTGGGTCGTGCTTGGTTAAATCAACATTTTCAAATAGGTTTGGATTCGCTGCGGTTCGGAACTAGCAAGAGAGTCAACAATAACAATGCGGTTGATCTCACTACTAAAAGAGTCATCTTACCACCCAGTTCATAATCTCAACTCGTTCTGCTTTAATGCCCTCCTCTTGGAGGGCATCTTGGACGACCTGGCGAACCTCGTCAAGATATCCGCCTGGTCGAGTGATAGTTTCATCATTTGTAGTAGGCTGTTTGAAGTCTCTCTGGACTAGTTTAAGTCCATTTTTCTCGATTGAGATCCGGCCCGGCGGCAACCCCCTTAAGTCAGTAATTTTTTCATGGCATCCATACTCAAACACAAGGTTGTTTGTTGGAAACTCGTCATCGACCTTACAAGCAAGGGTGTAAGGACGGAGGACATTGTAGATCTTGCATCGTTTTAGATATCTTAGCTGAATTGATAAGTCTTGAGGAGAAGTTGCCATCGGTAGATACAGCAAAATTGGATTCTAAGTGTCAGTTTTGATAAAGATAAAATATAACCTACAATATCAATAGATTAAAATGGTAATTGTAAATAGATAATTTCATGCTCCTACTTTTTATATAATACTTAGATAGGCTATTATAAATGCTACTAGATGCCTATAATGTATTAAGTTAAAGTACCTAATTAGATAGTTTAGTGTTATATAATAAAACAGTACTGTTAGTTATAGATAGTAACTAATGCCTAATAACTCTAAACGCTATCCTTCCTATTTGACGCTCTGCTTGCTTATTACCGAAACTTAAAATCTTCAAGTTTCTTTAGAAGGGAGCTTTGTGTAGGCACCCTGTAGACTTAGAAGGTTCATAGAGGTCCGACAGCAGATCAAAGCTTTTCCTGTCTCCCACTGATTTAAGCCCTGATTACTAACTTAACAAAGCAAGTGTAATTTTACCTATGAACTTTCCATACTATACTCTTTTTTGTTGAATAAGGTCCCCTAATAACCACAATACTGAAGTAGAAATGGCTCTTAAAGTTATACTACTGGTATGTACGTAACGTACTGTAGCGTAGCGCAGTAGTCTTAATTTAGTGTAGTGTCTCAGCGTGCAGGGTCTATGCAAGAGAGAAATTAATTATGTACGATTCTTAGTAATAGAATTTCTAAGATTTAGCTTCTGTTTGAGTATATAATATCTAGGATGTTAAAGTCTTTATGTTATACACCCTGGCTTTATACCTGCTAGTTGAAGATTAGTCTTATACCTTCTACTTTAGTTTACCTTACTAATGCATATAAAGTTGTCACGAGCAGGTTGTCATGAGCAGATTGTCACAGGCAGGTTGTCACAAGCAGGCCAGGGCAATTAGTAGAGACTACTATAGTACTAAGTATATACTAAAACAACGCTTGTAAATAAAAGTAAAATTTAATCCCTTGTATCTCTTTATAGTCCTAAGACTATTAAAACAGCCTTCCTAGCAGCTGTTGTAGATCTGATAGAAGGTTATGGTTGTAATAGTAGCATAAAGTAACCTAGTGCAAATGTAAAGCGTAACAGCAAAGCAGTAAAGCAAGATAAGTAATAACAAGAAGCTAAATGATTAACACAGGACAAGATAGGTAGTAGTAGTAATAGTCTATTAAGGTTAACCTCTTACTGTGTAACAGCCTATTACGGTGTAGTGTGAAGATAGTGAATAATAGGTCCTGTATTACACAGAGGCTGAATCTCGGAGAGCTATTCTCCTGCGATTCCTGAGGCTATCGCCAGCTAAAGGCCCCGCTCCCTGAGACACTCCGCTAACCTTATCGTTGTAGAGCGAGCTGCCGCCAGGAGCTCCTAGGTGGCCTTATCTGCATTCTGGCTGATACTGTCCTGTGACATATTGAGAGGAAGTCTAGTGGTAGTGGTCTATATACTTTATCGGCATATGAATGAACACGTGCTAGTGGAGTATTTAATCCTTGCCTTACTATCTACTGTCTGCTGGCTCTTTAGCACCTTGTCCTGTGACAACTATAAAAGCTACCTAGACCTTTCAGACTTTAACCTACTACTATATTAAACTAAGAGTATGCTTGAAACCATATAAACCCTAGCTTTTAAAACAAAAGCATAGACAAAAACTATATGACTAACTATATAGAAACTAGTTAAAAAGGCTTAAAGTATACTAGAACGCTGACTGTATTGTCCAGAGGTCACAGTCTTTAACTAGGTAACTCTAACCAATCAAGTGTACCTAGCCAAAAGATCCATCAATGCTTGCAACCTTATAAGCACTACAGTCAATACTGCTTACAGTGATGTGTAAAACGTCTGGGCCTACCTAAAAATATAGCTATGTTGTAGGGTGGGTCTAGACTTTCTGTATGACACAGTATATTATGCCTTGCGGCCCTCTCGAAGCTGTGGCCTGACTAATGAATTAATAAGGGTTAGTACTCTGTGACATAAAGCTCCTAACTATATGATGTAAATCAATATACTTTACTGAACCTTCTTCTTCTCCCCGGCGTTTTATATTCTAAAGCTTATATAGTAATGCCTGTAATATATAATCCTAATTAAAAAGCAGAATTATACTGTTGGGTTATTTTTAATATTATATATGCTTTCCTAATAAATTTATACCTTTACTTTTCTCAATTAGCCTAATTGTTTCTCTATTATTGTAGTGTAGGACTATTCTAATTTCTATACTATGTGTACAGACTGTTGAGGTTTATGATTATTCTTCTAAGACCGCAACACAACGTAGCAATGCCGCTCCTGTTACAGCCTCCTGTCACCCCTATTTTAAGTAAAGACTGTATGTTTATTATCTAGCACAAGTTTCATAGCTGACAGGCTAACAAATTGAACCCGGAATTAAGTACGATATGCAGAGCCTAACGTCATTGACTTTAGGTGGCTTGACGGAGGATCGAAAGAAGGCCATGATAATCTAGTGAAGGTCTTGAAGAAAGGCGCGCCAACAGGATTATTCCATCTTATCAATCATGGCCTTGATCCAGAATTAGTAAAGTAAAACGTTGTTATATCCCGTCCTTATGTTAACAATTTATCCATAGTTCCAGACGCTTCGTGCAGTCACTTACACTTACATGACGACACAATCCGTAGAGGAGAAAGACCGCGTTTCCTGTATTGAGGGTACAGGCTCTTTTGAGGGGTACCGACCACGTACAGAAGATGAGTAAGCAGCATCCAGAAAAGAAACCAGGATGTCTTCTGCTAAGAACTACGTAAAGGAAGAACAGAGGAGCTACGAACGTAATAGAGGAATATAACTACGATTACACATCTAGTGGTGCGATTGTCAGACCGCAGATCATACAAGAGAACGATTGGACATGCCGTCAAGTATTTGATGTAAGCAATATGAGTTATGAATTCTATCACAGCGCTAAAAGCTTGAAGTTCTATCACAATGAGTTAACGCCTCGGCTTCTCGACGCTATTAATTCCTTTGTTGGACTCCCAGAAGGGATACTCAAGCAACTTCACAAGGAGTCAAGCGAGGTCGCCCATTTTCTCTTCTACCGTGAGTACTAGGCGTATTAAAAGGCTCGTCAGTTGACTAATCTACAAGATCTTAGACCACCAGTGGTACAAGGACATAAGGAGAAAGCGAGCCGCGTATGCTGGCCATACTGACATTGGAACGATTACCTACCTGTATGCAAACCCAGTGGCCAGCCTGCAGGTGTACAGTTCTCAAGGCTGGGAGTATGTGGCCTACATTCCCAACTCGATCGTCATTAATATGGGAGATGCCATGGAATTTATTACAAAGGGGCAAATCAATGCAACACTCCATCGAGGTAAGTAACTATTTATACTTATATGCATACAGTTGTTTCAGAATTATTGTGTTAACGTACGTCGTCGATCTGCAGTTATCAAGCCGTTACCCACCCAGGACAATGATGTAAGAACTGCACTGATTTACTTTGTACACCCGAATCATTCTTGCATGGTTCAATCTGTGCGGCATTATCAGGAGCTCAGGGCGAGGTACACATCTTTAACCAGAGAGTCTCCTGGAGCCTTAATCAATGGTGCTGGATGTAGGTTGGAGGCAATCACTAGGTGTATAGGACTCAACTGATGACAATCGCAGTGAATCGAGTCATATCTGCGTTGTCATCTACGAGAGAGGACATTTACTTTGTACCGATTAACTCGCAGGCATGGGAGTTGTCTAAAAGAGGTAAAATGATTACGTCTCCACGAAGTTTTCATGTCGACTTTGAAAACCTACTTATTAAATAGTTTGGTTGTGTTGGAATAACAATATCACATGATCGTACGACGCCCATGGGACAATTGCTTGTACGATAGCCATGGAGTATTCACGACTCATGGGGATTATCGTGATTCAGTACCAAAGGGCACAGACTGGATATTCGGCCCTCGGTCAAAGACCACAAGAAGGGAATGGCATCGTGTATAACCAGATGACTCAAGGCGTACTGATAACTATATAACTTATCGTACGACAACAAGTAGGATTAGCTCTTCAGTCACCAATACATGTTGATTCACCCCCATACGTTTTCAGTTAGTACATCGATGTACGAGAGTCCATTCAACATTGGTAAAACATCGTAGACAGAAATATTACTTTCCACGTCAAGACTTAGTCTCAGAATGAGATGTTTTTGATAGGCGTCTCCATGGTATCCCGAGCGCGGTTAGGAACAGGCAAATGGCCATTGCAGTACTCCAGTAATAAGCATGCCTTAGACCGGACATATAAGCATCAATCGCTGCTTCTATTACGGTAGACGAGAGACGCAAGCCTTCAAGTGTATCTTTCAACTGGGACGCTCCAGTGTTGATGACAGCGGCGGCAGATACTTGGGGGGCATTACGTGCCAGGGCCTCCGTCAGACCGTTTTGGAAAAGTGCCTGAGCAGCTGCGGTGCCTATGGAACCACCGAGAGTGCTAAAAAATTGAACATTCGAGTTGGCCTGGGAGATTAAGGCTGGCGGCAAGACGTTTTGAATTACTACCAGCCCAGCTTGGAAACCAAGACCTACACCCAAGCCCATGACAACTTCGAAGCCAAACCAGCGGCTCTATTTCACTAGGTTTTAGTTACGCAAAACATTAAGAAATAGAAAGATATTAACATACCATAGGCGTGGTGGACGAGTATGTCGTGATCAGGCCGGCGCCAACGCAAAAAAGCGAAGATTCAATGATGATAATAGCGTTGTAGTTACGCAAAGCGCTAATTAAAAATCCACTGAGGATAGAGCTGAGAACTGCCGAGATTGATAAAGGTAAGAGCCTCAGACCTGCTTGAACGGCAGAGGTGCTCTGGATAGCCTGGAAAAAGAGGGCTTCCAACCTAATATCAGCACAAAGTCCATGATTAATCAGAAATCCACGAGGAACATACGCATTAACCCCCAAACCTCGCGTGGTTAACAGCAGTAGACTTACACATGTAGGAGATTATTGAAAAGTAGCTAGCCCCGAAGAAAAAGCTGTACACCAGGGCACAACCGACGTCACGGTTTTTGAAGAACTGCAGCGGCAGCAAACCTTCGTCCTGAGCACGACATTGAGTCGCGCCAAAAACGAGGAAGAGAACCCCAGAACCACAGAAACTAAGCAACGAATTCAGTTACACATCGTAATAGTATAAGAAGTCCAGACATACAGGCCTATGATGGTGGCTGATTTCCATGGAAACTCAGTGCCACCCCATTGGACCGCAAGCAACAGCATTACCACGGCTGGTACAAGCGCAGAGGTACCTATAAGATCCAGTTTGAGGATACGTGAAACAAAACTCGGTTCTTTGTTGTCGACATCACGCTTTTTGGGCCCTTTGAAAAAGAAGCCTACAAGCAGGAAGGCGATACTCCCGATGGGAAGGTTAATCCAGAAGCACCAGCGCCAAGTAACATGTTCAGCAAAGGTGCCGCCAAGTATTGGTCCCATAACACTCGCTACTCCCCAGACGGCACCTACTAAACCGAGGCAGGTGGCTCTCTTGTGCAGTGGCAGCGTTTGCGACATAATCACATACGTCCCAGATGCCATACCTGCGTCGCCTATTCCGCTTAGAGCTCGGCCCAAGGTCAAGACGCTATTGGTCGGCGACAATGCTGCCACTAGACTTCCAACCTCAAAAACAAGAAGGGATTGCATGTAAAGCCATTTAATGTCAAAACTTTTGTATATAGTGCCATACAAACACTGAACCGATGACGTCGCTAACAAGTATGAAGAAGTGTACCAGCCGACGTCCTTGACTGTTCCAAATTCGGTTGTGATAGCCCCTAAAGCTGGGGCAAGCATAGTTTTGTCTATAGCCATACAGAAGACACCAAGATAAAGGCAGGCAAGTAACGCATAGAGTCTCGGACCCGATAGATGATTTAGCTGCGCATTTTGGGTGTCGGATATCTGGGCTTCGGAATCGGCGGCTCGTGGTTTGGTTTCGTCGCCTTGGCCGTCTAGATACTGCGTTAGAACACCAAGTGAGCTCTCCATTTTGTGTAAATCTCCCCCTGCCATTTTGTCGTTTTGTGGTGTTAACTTGTCGGTATACAACAGCTTGAAATGAGGGTGTTCTCTAAGGGAACAGCAGCGTTTCCTACTAATATTGAACTAACTCGATCACACCTTCTCCACTTTTCACCGTCTTTAAATTGAGCATGTCCTCCTAGTATTATGTTGTTCACTGATACCTAGTTTACGAGGAAGTAAACTGAGTCAATACGCCGAAACCTGTTCAGATAAATCACGGCATTGTCTCCTGCAGGGATCTAATAGTATTCAGGTTCCTGCTCCCCACCATGTAATGTAAACTTGCCCAGGGTAATACCCGCTGCCCCAAGCAGGGTGTTTGGAGCATGGAGATATTTTGACTTTCTAATGGGGATAACTCAAATACCCCGCTTTTGCACCACCATCATCACAACTATCACTATAATCCGCGTCAAGACGCGGGGTTTCACTCCAATATGTTTTAGCTTGTCCGGGAGTATACGTCTGAGCTAACAAAATGCATGACCGGACGTGTCCAAGCCGATCGATATCGAAAGATTGCACAATCTCACAGTGGACCAACAATTCTTTCAAGGATGTTTTTACCTCATCCACTACAACTTCTCGGATGTAGGTCTCCAAAAACGACAAGAGAAGGCGTTGATGGTTTTTCGAGTTCGCCACTACAACCAATTGCAGGGCAGGCACAAGCAACGACCTGGCTTACAACAGTAGTGACACTGAGTATCCTGGATATGTAGTCTAACTCACAGTATTACAAGTCTGCCAGGGCGGACAGGGTCATGATCTTTTTAGACGTTCGGATACCATAGGTTCTAGAACATCGCTCAGAGGAGATCTTAGCGCTGTGAAAATCGCCTTAACCTTTCATAATGCAACCAACACAGTAAATGTGGCCCTAAAACATTTAAACTACCTCGAAATAATGGAGTGTCCGCAGGAGTAAGTAATCGAAGACTAGGGAGGTTGATCCACCCGTACCGGATATAATAGGGTATTTTGAAGTAGACGCTAGCTAATACCATGAACGGTGAGGACATCTTCTTCAAGGATCGACATGAGCCTTTCCAGCTCGGTAGATGACCGAGAGACAGGCGTATTGCGTGGGTTTTGGCCATATGAAGGGAGATTGCATCGATACCATCCTGCGAAATATAGTCTCCGCTGCCTTTCTCCTGAACGTAGCGTTGTATCACAGAGGATGTTATGTGGACGTTCGCCCTCGCAGCCTTTGGGTCTACTACAGTGCTTGTGACGGCTGCTAAAGATGCAAAGGCTTATACATTACCCTTATGGTAGCGCACAAGCCTGCCGTCGCGTTAGTATTAAATAACGACATCTTTTAAGATCATTAGTCTTCTCCATAGTGTCTTCGCCGTTGAGTCCTAGGTCGAGCCCGTCGCGAAGCTCTATGACGGTATAGGGCCAACATTCCTCGTTACGAAGTGATGTAAACCTTCCCAGGATAACTCTATTTGGGATGTACCATTCATTAGCGTTGCAGCCATGGAGGTCTTCCGATAAGTGGTTATGCAATCATGGGTATATAATCGCCACTCAGGGGGTTGGTAACTCTAGATGGCGTCGTATCACACATTGTGAACTCATTCTGAGTTGGCGCGCTGTATCCAAAGGGCCCTTTCGTTACGGCATCCTTAGCATTGCATCTCTCACACACGCACTGGAAGAAACTTAATGCCAACAAGACGCGTCCGTATATTAATAGATCGTGTTGGACAAAGTTTTGGAATAGGAAGTAGAGAAGTCCTCATGCGGTGGTGCTGCGAAGTTCTCGTCTTTGTCTACTTCGCATTCCAGTAGGTCGGTGCAAGGTGCCACGGCAGCGTCAGCTTTGGCATAGTTCAATTCTCACTAATTAATAGAATTTTAGCAAGAGAGAGATGGCTACTGTCTCTTTGCGGCTGCTTCGATTGGGAGCCAAGAATCTCGGGCTTATTCGGTTCGATATGATGACAGGAAGTTACAGCTCCCGCTTGATCTCCACTTTGCGGTCAAGAGTGCAGTCCTATCTATGTTGGAACATCACAAGAACCGGGGTGCGCCGGATTACAGGGCCCGGAATCTTGGTGCCGGTGTACGGAGTACAGCTGGGTGTCTCCTCAAAGGTCTTCTTCGCGCTACAAAAAGCATACTTGCCGCAGAGTTCGGTTTTCCGTCCCAAAATTCGTCGACTCTGGAGCGGCTTGAGCATATCATGAGTCCTGTCTGTGTATATCGGAGGTGCATGTCTTCTTGAAAAAGACACCGACGTTCCCCAGACCTGATGGGCGATGGCAGCGATTCGAGCACGTGTGCGGTCATGTGACTTCGCGTTCAGCTGCGTCAAGTCTGTCGCGTCCGTCCCCGCGATCCACTGGGCCCGATGACGCACTACAACATTTGTGACAATACCAAGGTTTGACCAATACCAATCAAAAATCGCATGAACCAACGCTTGGCTGGACTGCGACACGACCTTCTCAGATTCATTGAAGGAATTCTTGCAAGCGTATATCTAAAATGCCGGCCCGGAAACGCCGTGCGACGTCGCCGCCTGCGGAGGTCGAGAACGAAACCCGCCGGCGGTCCCGGCGCATCTCGAGCACGCCGAAGAAGAGCAAGTACTTTGACGGAAGCGATGACGATGATGAATTTGATGGCGATGCAAAGCTTGAGGATGAGGCTGATGAGCCTGAGAGTGAGGTCGACGACGAGGAGGAAGTGGAGCCGCCCAAGAAGCGCGGGCGCGGACGGCCGAAGGGTCAAGCCGCCAAACCCAAGGCTAAGCCACAGCCAAAGGCTGCAAAGGCCAAGGCTGTGAAGAAGCAGAATATTGAGGAGGCTGAAGACAACTACCAAGATGAGCAGCCTGACGAGGATGACAACGAGCATGACGACGAGGAAGATGATTTCGAAGGCGAGAGGAGGGTCACCATCATCCCGCTCGAAAAGCTCCGGCCCCTAGATGGTGTCGACTACTCGGATGAGACTGTGCACAAGAACACGCTTCTGTTCTTGAAAGACCTGAAGGCTCATAATCAGAGGTCGTGGCTCAAGAGTATGGCCCACTCGGACTCACTCTTGACTGGGAAAAAGAGCTGACACCGTTATAGGCCATGACGGCGAGTATAGACGTGCGCTTAAGGACTGGAATTCCTTCGTCGAGACCATTACGCCCAAGGTCACCGAGGTCGACTTCACCATTCCCGAGCTGCCTGCCAAGGATCTCGTCTTTCGGATTCACCGGGACATTCGCTTCAGCAAGGACCCGACCCCGTACAAGGTGCGGCATGACAAATTCTTTTCAACTTGCTCTGACCGTACACGTGTGGTTAACGAGAGCTTTATAGGCGCATTTCTCAGCCGCGTGGTCAAGGACAGGCAAAAAGGGCCCGTACGCTTGCTATTACATCCACCTCGAGCCGGGCTCCTGCTTCATCGGCGGCGGTCTATGGTGCCCCGAGGCATCGCATCTGCAAAAGCTGAGGCAGAGCATCGACGAACGGCCGCAGCGTTGGCGTAGGGCTTTGAACGACGAGAGGTTCAAGAGGACATTCCTACCCAAGGCCGCGAAGAAAGGGGGCGAGGAGGGAGCGTTGAAGGCGTTCGCCGAGACGAACAAGGGCAACGCACTCAAAACGAAGCCAAAGGCAAGTTCGCTCTATGACGGTTTTCGACACAAATCCAACAAGGAGACTCGGCATTTGGCTAACTTGTGCTGGCAGGGCTATCTGGCGGACCATCGCGATATCGAGCTTTTGAAGTTGCGTAACTTCACCATTAGCAAGAAGGTTGACGATCGGATCTTCACCGAAGAGGACGCCCAAGACAAGGTTTGCGAGATCATCGCAGCCATGCACCCTTTTGTAGGTCCAGAGCCCTCTCATCCCGTGGCTCGGCTGACTGGGAGCAGATCACCTTCTTGAACAGTATTGTCATGCCCGACCTCAACATGGATGACGAAGACGACAGCGAAGACGAGGACGACGGAGACCAGGAGAATGGCGATGCCGAAGAAGGCAGTAATCCCGAGGAGACGGGCGATGAAGAGGAGGAAGAAGGCAAGGATTGGAGTACGCACAAGTTTTGAGATCTGATACGAGTTGTAGCTACCTCCCGCGTGCCGATACTTTGCATACTGTTGCGTCAGAACTGAGAGGAGGATTTTGAATCTGGTTCTGGGGGACTCGACAGGTCGAGTCCCGTTTGCGCTGGAGCAAATCCGGGCGGCTGTCTCTGTGGGGTCACTCGGTCCCATGAAATATGATTGTACGATACGGAGTGAAGAGGCCCGCAAACCCAAAACCGAGGCCCAAGTCTTCCAACGAGATGCTCCGCCATGACTTGCCTGAATCGAGTGCTTTTGCCAATTGCGTCGCTATGGAAGATTGTGCGCACCGGCCCACGGAAAGGGAGTCCGACGCAGTCACGTTTGGCTTGGGAGCTAACTGTAGGGTGACAACTCTGGATCCAGTGGCGTTTAAGTGTATAATCATTGACCTATATCTTGTATGCGCTTCCACCCAGAACTTCGAAGCGTAGCCTGTTAGCGACTGCTCAGCAGTAGTTATGATTTAAAGTACAAACGCAGTTGCAGCATGTCGTCATTAGGAAGAGGTTTCTTTATTTCTTAGTTGTATACCCTTTAGTCACCCGGTTCAAGCAAGCTAAGTGCGTGGGCTGAAGCTGTCATTGGGGCGAGTGCTCTCCGACTTATGGCCAGCAGTGTTTTCTAGAGTCATGGATTTTTCATGCTTGCCTTGTCAGAGACGACACCGGCAAACAGGTGCATCAGACCACATTGATCATTTTGGGCCTCCCGTGAGCACTACCAACGGACGGAAGTCACCTAAGTGGCAGGATTCAATATGTGAACTATATTACACGGTATCTATGGTCGATAGCGACCCTCCCCCTGGGAGGTACCTCCCCATGAGGGCAATCAATGCGAGACAGGCTGATGTTGGACGATTGAAAATGGTCGGGATTGCGATGCAAGCCGCTGTGTTTATTTGAAATATATGTATCAATATATATATATATATACATATGAAATATTATCATTAACCATCTCGAATCCTCGGAATACTACCCGAGAGTCACTCGAGGCACCGAGAATGTCTCAAAAAAAAAGAGCATTCCCTTCTCAGATTAGGTTGCGGAGCCACGGCCCCTACAGAACCGCTCACAGCCAAGTGTAGCACACGTCGGCGACGGGGACCTCGACGTCCCAGAGCTCCTGCGACCACCACTGCGTGGCGTAGCCGAAGACGCTGAAGAAGAAGTCGCTCTTGATGGCGAAGCCCTGCTGGCAGTCGGTGTTGTCCTGGCCGATGCCGGTGCCGCCGGTGCCGGCCTCCTGGCTGGCGGTCAGGACGAAGTCGTTGACGAGCTTGGAGTGGGTGTCGACGCCGGAGGAGAGGCTGACGGCGCCGCCGAGGATCTCGAAGACGAGCTCAACGCCGAGCTCGACGTAGGGGTTCACGGTGACGGCGGCCTTCTGGGTGATGTTGGCGTTGGCGGTCCAGACGGGCTCCCAGCCGGTGGCGGCGGTGGCGGAGCTGTTGACAAGGTCGAGGTGGATCTTGGCGTCGGGGAAGGTAAGGCCGAAGTCGGTGGTGATGCCGGCCGCAGCATTGGCGTCGAGCTCGACGCCGATGGCGAAGCCGAGCGCGGGGCCGAGCTTGATGATGCCGGGGATGTCGACGAAGCTGGAGCGCGCCACCGAGGTTAGCACGATGAGGAACGCGAAAAAAAGAGACGAAAAGAAAGGATTTACTTACTTGTAGCCGAGGTCCTCGGGGTCGTAGGTGAAGTTGCCAGAGTAGGGAGCCGTGACGTCGACGGACAGACCGAGGTCGGCGCCGAAGTAGGTGTCGATGTCGAGCGCGAGCTGCTCGACCTTGGGGGGCACGATGGTGTACTTGAGCTTGCCGGAGAAGGTCATGTTGGAGGTGAGGGAGGCCTTGTCGGCGGTGATGGTGACGTAGGGGTCGTAGGAGAAGAGGGTCGAGGCCGCGGGCAGCGAGAGCTGGTTTGTGATGTGCAGACCGTTCTCGTCCGTCGTGATGTCGCGCTTGGCGGAGGGGTTGTTGAAGGGCACGCTAGAGAAGGAGATCTCGGTCGAGGCTGGGTGGAGGAAGACGGGGGTCAGTGTCGTCGTTGACGACGAGAGAGGAAGAGAAAGAAAAAAAAAGAAAGGCACTTACTAGCCGTGTTGGCGACGTCGCTCTTGTGGGCGTTGGCGACGACCTGGAGCGAGGCCTCGTCCAAGGTGACGGTGTCGACGAGGAAGAAGCCACGTTCCTGCTCGGCGTTGCAGTTTCCCTGGTGGTTGGTGACCATGACGAAGTCGTCGAGGCCCTCCCACTGCTGCGAGGTCTGCTGGAAGGCGGCCTTGTCGTTGAAGGTGACAGTGATGCTCGTGTCTGCGCAGGAGACGGAGGCGACGGCCGCGACCTCCTCGAGCAGGACCGAGGGGTACTTCATGGCCAGCGAGACGCTGACGAGGCTGCTGTCGTCCGCGATGCCATAGTTAAGCGTGATGCTGTTGGACGGCACCACGGCGCTGGCCAGGAGCTTCGCGTTGGACGCGGGCCGCCGGACGGGGCGGAGGGTGGTAGTCGTGTTGACGGCGTTGGCGCCGACGGCGGCTAGGGCGAGGGTGACGAGAGCGAGCATCGTGACGGTACGGGGTTCGAAAGAGAGAAAGAGGGGGCTACTCTGAGTGAAGCCTGACGAACCGAGACCAAGACACGAGAGCAGCGCAAGACTTCATATAGAGGGCCGAGATGGAAGCATGTTAGCCGTACATGGTCCGCTCTCTTGGCCGTGGGCCCGTCTGATAGCGCGGTTGGTATCGTAACCGCGATAGCTCTCCGTCGAGCCTGCATGTGCCGTGCAGCGTTTCCTTCGCGATGGCATCACGAACCAGTTCCCAGAGTCACCGGAATAGGAATGTCGTCTTGTTCCTTGTTTCGTCCACGCACGTGGTCATCATTGGTGGTAATGGCCCCCACCCCTTATCCCCTGCCGGTGCGCGAGTCACGAAGAGGTACCAAAACGCGACACAAGGTTATCGATAATATCAATAAATCACACCCTGTTGCGACGTCCTGCCTGATCCAACGTCGCATTGCGCCGCGGGGCTCACAATGTTATTTAATTTACCGGCTGCAGCCCGGCACGCAGGAGGAACCATGCTCCGGATCGCCAAGCGGGAGATAGCCAGCGCCTCCCCCCGTCAATAAGCGTCTCATTGGACGGGACCGACCCTTAAAGCTGAGAATACCGGAACGGTCATGCAATTGCATATGGCACATGCGACCGAGGGATGACAAAATGGTAGCACCTCTGGCGGAGCTTTCGGCCGATATATCCCGGAATGGCGCTTTGCGGGGGCGTCCAAAAGGGGGGACTGCAACCGTGACGAGACCAGCGACAGGGTCGGTGACCGATAACGGAAGTTCGAAAAGCACCTTTCTGCGAGCAAAGAACAGCTCAATGGCACCGTGGCGAAAACGATAACAGTAAACGCTTGACTCGTCTCAATCATTATCAGTCTAAGCGCGCACGTTGCTAGATGCCGGGCGTCTTAAGGCGGGAAACAAATACAACCTGCAGACCACTTTCCCCACCTGACGTGATCGGGTATCCCTCGGATTATACTCGGTTAGATATGGCAAGCATGGGGAGTAAGAAAACATGTGATTGCCTACGCCGGCAAGATGCTACCATCTTGGCTCCGGCCTCTCTGTCGCAGGGGTCTCCAGCGCGTTCCTGTCGGCAAACGGGTCGTCGTCGTCCTCCTCTCCCCCTTCCGAATCAGACTGAGCCCGCTGAACGGGAGGTCTCGGAGGCTTCGCAGGGGCAGGTGCCGGGACAGAAGGAGAGGGTTTTGACATTGGAACAGGACGGGGCGGGGGAGGAGGGCGGGAGGACGGAGTTTGGCCGATGCTCAGGCCAGAGACGTCAGGAGGAGGCGGAGACATGGATTGCTTGGCCTTTTCAGATACCACTGGAAATTGTCAGCACGGACCCTGCGTGGGATTGAGAAGGACAGGCATACTTCGGTAGATATGAGCTTGCTCGGCAAGCTCGTCATCGGAATCGCTGTCGGCATCGATCGACCGATCAAGTTGCTCAAAGGTCATAAGAGCCGTTACGAGCTCGTCGTTAGCCCTCAGAAGACTGCCGAGCCACTCCTCCGATTCGATGTGGTGGATCTGGGGGATCGTTAGTTCGGAAATCTCCCGAGAGGAGGAAACCTGGGCAGACTCACGTAGCGAAGGATTTTCCGTCTTAGCTGCTTGCAATTCTCGAACTGCTGGACAGCCTGAGGGTTCTCGGAAATCCGCTCCCTTTCACGGTTGATGCTTTGCAGGTGGTTGGTAAGGTTAGTGGTGGCGATGGAGCTCTCGGCAATGGTGCTCTTCATCGCATCCTTCTCCAGCTCCAGGTTGAAGGGCTTGCGCTTGCCCTTCTTTTCCTTGTCCTTCTTCTTCTTGTCCTTGGAGGAGCCGAAGAAAGAGCCGCCAGAATGGGACGAGGATTTGGAGTGGCCGCCGGCGCGGCTGGCGGCGGAGGCGGCGGATTCGCCGCCGCCGTATGGCAGATACGGGGTACGCTGAGGGCGGGAAGACTCCCCGGCACGGGCGGGGGCCAAAGGGGGCGAAGGGGGCTTGTCCTCTTCTTCCTCGCCGAATGGGTTTTCGGTCTCTCGGACGGCCTTGGACCTCTCCTGGGTGACGGCAACCTTGCGCTTGGGGAGTTCCTGCAGAGGTTAGCTCCCGGGGTCCTCTCTCGGCGGATGGCTGGCCTTACCTGGTGCAGCCTGGCGATGCGCTCGAGGCCCGGCGTGCTCTTGTACTGGGACCAGCTCCGGAAGAGTTCCGTGCACTTCTTTTTGACATCCGGGTCGGACAGGTCAGAGGTTCCGCAGACCCTCAGGCGCTCCAACAGGGTCTCGTCGGCAAAGGCGCGCTGGAAGCGGGGGCCGGCGTTCTGAATGAGGCCGTCGAGGATTGTGAGAGCCCTGAGCTGGCGGTGGACGTTGCCGTACTTGAGTTTCTTGCGGATGGCACGGGCGGCCTCAGCGGGACCGGAGGCCTGAAGCTTGATGACCTCGACGAGGTCGGGAATGCCGCTCAAGTCATCCTCATCATATGTCTCGGAGGTGAGCGTCTCGATGCTCACCGTCACGGCCGAGTATGGCTTCTTCTGCGGGCGGATCAGTGCTCGTTCGGTCAAGACAGTCGAAGGCTACTTCAAAGGCACATGTGGCCCACGATCAAGGCACGCGGTTCCTTGACATGTGTGGCTCTAAATGAACCGTACTGGGTTCGTTTGGCCGTGTCGGTTACTCGCGCGTGCCATGACCTGGTGAGGTGGGCCGATTGTGGGAAGTTGAGGGGTCACAAGCCTACCTGAGAGAACATGATGTCAGTACCCGGATGCTGCGTGGTATCAGATATCCAGAGATAAAACGACCAGGTCCAAGACTCTTCTACGAGCCGTCGATGGCGGAGGGGTGGCGCAACTCAGGTGGCTGATGGCAAGAGGGATTTAGAGGAGATGGGTCGTGGGCGTAGCAAACGGACAGGCAGGCCAGACAGACAGACGGTCGTGGGAGGCAGTCGCAGGTCGTCAATAAGAGCGAGAGATGTGGATCAGTGGGAGAGAATATGAAGGCCGGTAAGGAATATGAGACCTATAGTCGGTTGTCAGGATTGAGCTCAGTCTGGTTCGGGTTGGAGTGTATGTATGTATGTGTGTGTGTGTGTGTGTGTGTGTGTGATGTGAGGGACGGACGAGGCAGCCGTGGTGGGGCAAGGCGTTCCTTCCCCTCCAAAGCTGGCGTCCCGCGGGGTCTGTGGTACGTACCCACTCAAAACACCCCGCTGACGCAATTTCTTCAGAGCATGTGGAACCAAACCGCCCAAAAACCACCGACCTTTGGAAACAGGCAGAGAGTCGCCCTTCTGGCTGTTGTGTTGCGTTGCTCGCAAGCAAACAAGCAAAACAACCCAAACCAAACGATGCAGGATAGAAACAAAAGTTTTCCAATTCATCACCGATTCTAAGGCTTTTCCTACCAAGAGAGTTTCGGACCATTTGAGTCCGTCTGCCACTGCTGCCAAGGGGGGGGGAGGTGTTGGTCAAAACAACCTCCGCAGAAAGAGCTGGGAGCACGGGCTCTTTAGTCATCAAATAAACCAGCTTCCAACCCTGCGGGGCGTCGTGATCCGGCTTGGCCAATCACAAGTTCCTAATCCAAGCATCGTTGACTCTCTGTCCAAGGTCGCTCGATGCACATATAATCAATCCAAGCCAACGGCGGTTATTAGCTCTATTAGTCTCTGGGAAAATAGAACAAGCTTGCCAAAGTGGCATTTAATACAAAGCATATAATCACTGGTATTATCAACTTAATTTACTAGAGAGAGCATAATAGAATACGCAGGCTGCGCTTGTATGTAGGTAATGTGGACCAAGACCCGTAGTACTGAGACTGAGCTGCCACAATCATCCAATCAAGTTTCAAATTCCGGATGGTCCACAGTCGGTGCTCCATATTCCCAAAAATCGCGCTGGCCGTCAACTCCCGAGACACAGCATCTCATATCCCCGATGGCACAATTGGCTAGCGCGTCAGACTGTTAATCTGGAGGTTGGTGGTTCGAGCCCACCTCGGGGAGAGTCAGTGGTTGAACTCCACCTTCTAATGAGATGTTTTTTTTTTCTTTTTCTCTTCTTCGTCTCTTCTCCATTCCTCTTTCAAGGACGCTTCCTGGCTAGGTTTCTTTTTCGGATTCATTTCGTTTTCTAAACATTGTTCGTTCTCTTTACGTATCACCCACTAATACGACACACTTTTGACTGCATGCCATGTGCAAACCTCATGTGTCGTCTATGGCAATGTGTATCCGCCATCGATGACCAGATTTGCCCCTGATCGTTCATTCCACTTAGTACATCGTCAACGAGGGCTTCCAAGGGGCGAGGGCATACCTGTCATGTAACTGCTCGCATCGCTGGCGAGAAACACATACGAGCCCTTCAACTCGGCAGGCTCACAGAGTCGTCCCCCGGGGATCATGGAGAACCATTTCTTCCTCCACTCCTCGGGATGCACCGCAAGCACTGCCGCTAGTCAGCCCATCGTCGCTCACTCACTCACCCGCCAGAGCCTGAATTTACTATCAGTCGCGATGAAGCCCGGGCTGACACAGTTCACCCTTGCCCAGTCAACCCACTCCACCGACAACGACTTGGCCAGGTGCACCACCGCCGCCTTGCTGGCGTTGTACGCCGCCTGCTTCTGCGGCACGTTGACCAGAATCGCCGATACCGACGCCGTGAAGATGATGCTGCCCCTTCCGTCGCCGCCCGCCTTGAACTGTCGCTCGAAAATCTTGGCCGCCGCCTGCGCTGTCCAGAAAGCACCGTTGAAGTTCACGTCCAGCATGTCCCGGAACTTGTCCTCGGCGTACTCGAGCGCCGGCGCGTAGTCCGCGATGCCCGCGTTGGCGACCACGATGTCGAGCCTCCTGCCGCCGACCTCTTCCGTCGCCGCCTCCATGACGGACGCCACCTCGCCGCTATTGCGGACGTCGCACCTGTACGCCTTGACGGGCACGCCGTTGCCCGACTCGGAGAGCGCCGCCGCCGTGGCCTCGGCTTCCGCCGGCGACGGCCTGGCACAGCACGCCGATGGGCCCGCACCCGAAGACGAGCACCGTCTGGCCGCCCCTGAGCCCGGCGACCTTGCAGTTCTGGACGGCGACGGCCACCGGCTCCACCAGGGCGCCGTCTTCCGCCGACATGTGGTCCGGGATCAGGTACGTGTAGTCGCCGGCGACGACGTAGTACTTCTGCAGCGTGCCGTCCCACGGCGGCGTCGCCGCGAAGACCGTGTCCGCGCACAGGTTGTACGCGCCCGCTCGGCAGTAATCGCAGCTTCGGTTTTTTGTGTGATGGTTAGTGTACCTGCCCCTCCCATCCTTGCGTTGCGACGTGTAAAAGAAAGTAAAAATAAAAAGAAGAAAAAAGAAGAGGGGGGTAGGAGAGGACTCACTGCCGGCATGGCACGCCCGGGTCGATCGCCACCCGGTCACCGACCTTTACGTTCTTCACCTTGTCGCCGACCTCGACGACGGTCCCGGCGCTCTCGTGGCCGAGAACGATGGGGGACTCGAGGACGAAGTCGCCGATGCGGCCGCGCTGCCAGTAGTGCACGTCGCTGCCGCAGATGCCCGTCTGCTCGACGTGCACTCGCACGTCGTACTCGTCGCGGAGTGTCGGGACCTCTCGGTTCTCGAACGAGACGTTTTGGACGGACCGGAGCACGAAGGCAGGGTTCTGGTCGGTCGGTCAGTTACGTTCGACCCGTGTCAAGGTCTCTTAGGTGCTCACTAGCTCAGTCATTTTCGGCGGGTTTTTGGTTGTGTTGATGGATGTAGTCTTTGGTTGAGGGAGGAAACCCGGATTCAGTGATGATGGAGCTTGTGACGGTGCAGGCCTAGTTCCTAAAGCTCACAAGTCTGCCATCATCTTGTTTGTGCAGGGAGCCGAGCCATGGCCGTGACATCGACGCGGGGTACCGCCGCACCGGCCGGCATGGGGCCGCCGTGAGGGGCCGAAGTGAAATCGGGTGTCTGTGGTCCGCTTGTGTCACCAATGTCGGGCCGCAGTGTCCATTGCAGGAAGAGGGATTCTGATACACTGTTCTTGTCAGGTCCAAGCCCGACTTAACTTGACTATATTTGCCTCCCCCTGTTCGTGATGATCCAGTTGTCCGGTATTATTGATCATTCACATGAGAGCCCAACCACACTCACCCATTGGTCCCAGCTACGATGGAATCGACCTACAAAGCTCTTGTTCAGCACACCTTACTCGAGTGGAACGAAAAGCGGCGATCTGCATCTGACACAGCCGTCGTCCATCCTAGACTCATCATCGCGATTGCTGGGCCACCGGGCTCTGGCAAGACCACCATCGCGCGGCGCGTGGTCTCCGACCTCAACTCCTCCCCGGAACCCCGCCCAAAGTCCGTGGTAGTGTCCGCCGACGGCTTTCACCTGCCGCTCGAGGTGCTGCGCGCGCTCCCCGACGCCACGGAGGCCATCGCCCGCCGCGGCGCCCCGTGGACCTTTAACGGCCCGGGCCTCGTCCGCCTCGTCCGCCAGCTGCGGGCCTCTGCGGGCCTGCGCCCCGTCCAGGCGCCCACGTTCGACCACAGGCTGAAGGATCCCGTCCCCCGTGGGCTCACCATAGAAGCGGACGTCGACGTCTGCCTCGTCGAGGGGAACTACCTGCTCGTGGACGAGGAGCCCTGGAGCCAAGTCGTGCAGTTGGTGGACGATCGGTGGCTCGTGAGGGTCGAGCCGACGCTGGCCCGGAACAGGGTTGCCGCGCGACACGTCGCGGCCGGGGTTGAAGATACAATGGAAAAGGCACTGTTTCGGGCGGAAAGCAACGACATGGTCAACGGGGAGTACATCGTCAGGCGCAGTGAGGGGAGGTACGATTTGCTGATTGATAGCGTAGAGGAGCTACCAAACTAGGCCCCTGTCTTTCGTGTTAGAGCGGAGGTTTTTGACTGTCTGAACATTAAACAACCCCTTACCCCTCCCCCAACCTTGCGTCTCCTTGGATGCATATTTCACTGGCCCCTATCAGCATGTGGAACACGCGGTGAGTGTCTGGGGTGAGGGTGACAGTATCCCGTCTGGCGACTAACTCTGGGCATCGCACTGGGGTTCCGGGGAAGCCTTTGTCAAAGATGACAATCAACGGCGGCACAAACGGAACAACCAAGTCCATCAGGGCTCCCAACCCACCAATCGAGGACAGCGTCTTCAAGCAGTTCCGGCTGGACGGACGCACAGTCATCATCACTGGCGGAGCGGGCGGCATAGGCTCGGAGATCGCCAGGGGCCTTGCGGAAGCTGGGGCCAACGTGAGCATTACCTCTGCATGTCACCCAAGAATGAATAACTGGAGTGCTAACACCGACGGCCCCTATCTCTGAAGATCGCCATCTGGTATCATACTTCCAAAGCGGCCGTCGCCATCGCCGAAAGCATCGCCCAGGACTTCGGAGTCAAGGCTAAGGCATACCGGGTCGACGTGACCAGCTACAGCGACATCGAGGCCGCCGTCGCGTACGCCGTCGAGGATTTTGGCCGCCTCGACGTCATGGTCGCCAACGCCGGCGTCCCCTCCAAAGCCGGGGGCCTGGATGACGGGATCGAGGACTGGAACCGCGTGAGGGCGGTAGACTTTGACGGCGCGTACTACTGCATGAGGGCTGCAGGGCTCGTCTTCCGCGACCAGAAGAGCGGCGTGGGGATCATCACTGCGTCCATGAGCGGCCACGCCGTCAACGTGCTGCAGGAGCAGAGTTGTTACAACGCGTGCAAGGCGGGAACGGTACGTATTGCATCCGGCCGATTCCTGGACGTCCCCCCCCCTCGGGCTGACACCGAGCTCATCCAGATTCACCTCGCCCGGTCGCTAGCTGTTGAGAGGGCCAAGTTGGGAGGCCGGATCAACTCGGTTTCGCCCGGCTACATCGACACTGCCATGTCGGGTGACTGCCCTTTCGAGATGAAGGAGGAGTGGTTCGGTCTGACGCCGCTGCGTAGAGACACCGACCCGAGAGAGCTGAAAGGGATATACCTGTACTTGGCCAGTGATGCCAGCTCTTATACGACTGGGGTCGACTTCATCATTGACGGTGGCTATACGGCGCGATAGGAATCGTATTCTGAAGGACTCGAAATCATCAATGAAGAGAAATTCAGATATGAGGGTAAAAAAATGAACGTTTCGATTTTGATAAACATGAACTGTCGTAAAAGTTTCTTCACACGTGTTACATGACTCCCGTGTCATTACCCCCCCGAAGACATTACTAGCCCTCGTTGTTCTAAGTAATGGTGAGTGAAAGTCTATGCCCAAAGTCTCTTGTTCATATCTAATTTTTAGTCGTAGCATATAACTCTAAATGCAACGTATTAGTTAGTTTAAAGGGATCTGGTCGTAGATCCTATGGTCCATGTTGGATGTTTTGTGTATTTGTGCTCGCACTACATGGCTTCTTCAAAAACCTTTTGAGAGGGTTATGGATCGCTCTGAGAGCCTACATTGTATCTCGATCGATGGTCAAAGTTACCGAATCGTCTTATCGTTTCTTGGACATTCTAAGCGAGTTTCATTCGGTTCAACCTCATACTCACCTGATCATCGAAAGATCCCATATACCGACCCTGGCCAGCGTGTTATTCCCGGACCTAATTTGCATAGACTTGGCATCCTTCCAAGCCACCAACAATGCCAACGCCGGCATGTTTGCTCAGCCTGGACTAATGAGGGTGACAGACGTCCGTCGTCCCCGCACTTACTCAACAAACACCATAGCCTCCTCCCCCAATCCCAAGCACAATGTATGGATCGCGTCCGGCGATGCAGCTGTCGATGATGCAACCGTTGGCATACCCCATGGGTAAAACCCCTGTACCCCCACAAACATCTACCACATTGCGCGGGGTAAATGAGGATTGACGGCGCGATGTTTTCGAGTACTAGCCGGCTGGGAGACATCGCGCCGCGTGATAATACTCTGTGGTATTGCACAGGATCTCAGAGAAGTTGAGATGGATATAAACCTCCTGCGGGTCCCCGCAAGACCGGCCATCATCAGCCTCTAGGAGGTCAATAATACCCGATATCTGACGATCTTTTAGTCAAACCTGATTATTCAATGCCAGGCACGCGAGTTCGGGTCTAGACCACCCATCCAGTATGAAGGACGAGCAAATTGTCGGCGCGGCCTTGGCCGAAGTGCTTCCGAAGACGGACAAGTACTGGTTCCAGCAGTCGCATCTACTGAGATTGAACTTGTTGCTTCTGGTCCCACTGCTGTCCTCATCAGTATCAGGATACGATGGTAGGGTCCTACAGCCATACCTCACAGAGTATCAGCTGACAGTTGGTGTACAACAGGGTCGCTGATGAACGGCCTCTAATCACTTCAACAATGGCGTGAGTATTTCGCCAATCCCACTGGAGTAAAGCTTGGAGACGTCAATGCTGCGCAATCCATTGGATCTGTACTGGCTCTGCCCATTGTCGGCTATCTGGCGGATCGCTTCGGTCGAAAGCCGGTCCTCCTTTCGGGCATCATCCTCATCATCATGGCTACGATCGTCCAGTCCACCTCAGTCAACTTGCCCATGTTCATCGTCTCGCGTTTGCTCGTAGGGTTCGGCGGCATGTTCGTTGTACACCCTAGTCCAATGCTCATTGCCGAGTTGGCCTACCCGACGCATCGCGGGAAGTATACCTCGGCGTTTTGGACCACGTATTATCTCGGTAAGTCTAGCAATAGAAGCCTCGGTGCATCTAGGCACCGGCTAACCCCGTAAAGGCGCGATTCTGTCATCCTGGGCGACTTTCGGATGCCAAGACTACCAGACCGAGTGGGCATGGCGGATCCCCTCCATCCTTCAAGCCGGATTCCCGCTGGTTCAGCTTTGCTTCTTCGCCTGGGTTCCCGAATCTCCCAGATGGCTGATTGCAAGCGAAAGAACGGCAGAAGCTGCCGCGATCCTCGCCAGGTATCACTCAGGCGCGCAAGACCCAGCGGAAGGCCACACGCCCCTCGTCCGCCGCGAAGTTGCCGAAATTGTACAGACGATTCAACAAGAAAAGAAGGCAGAAACAACCGGATTGATGGCTCTTGTGGCCACTCCCGGAAATCGGAAGAGAACACTGATCGCTGTTTGCGTCGGAGCCTTCGCCCAGTGAGGACCCTTTTTCCCACCTCCCTGACTGAAGGGTAGTTGCTGACATTGACAATCAGATGGAACGGGATCGGTGTGGTGTCGTATTATCTCACTCTCGTCCTCAACACCGTCGGCATCACGGACACCTTTACTCAGACACTGGTCAACGGCTTGCTGCAAATCTTCAATTTTGGTGCAGCCCTCGGCGCCGCGTTCCTCGTCGACCGCCTCGGTCGCCGGACCCTATTTCTGTGGTCCAGGGCGGGCATGTTGGCCAGCTACATTGTCTGGACGGCCTGTTCGGCAGTGAACACCGAGACCGGATCCAAGCCTGCCGGCATCGTAGTTGTGGCTTGTCTATTCACCTTTTACTTCCACTACGATAACTCCCCCACCCTATATCCGAACCACCCCCACATCCGAACCACCATCATCACCACCATCGCCACCACCATCACCACTTATTTCACCATCTCTGCCGCCCACCCATATGCAACTTTCGGCCTCGCTAGGCAATTTAGATGCCCTAGATTCATCCAGACTATCTATATTGCCGGGATCCAGACTTCAGGCCTAGATTATATCCTCTATAGTAGCAAAGGTGCTGTTAGGAGATAATTAGACCCTTTTCCTCTTACGTAACTATATATTATTTAACTAGGCCTGTAATAAGTTAACCTGCCTTTCTAGAAGGGCTGCTCTAGATACCTGCTTATTATAGCCTTTTTACAGCTTTCTAGATAGGTAGTAAATAGTATAGGTATCTAACTTATCTTTACCTAACTAAATTAACTAGTATAATTAATACTATAGATTAGTAGATTAATAAGGCGTTAACTATAAGATAATAGATTTAGCTTTATCTTACTATTAGCTACTAGTCTGCTAGCTAGGCTAGCTCTATTAGGCCCTAGTTACTATTAAGTTAGATAGGGGGCGTCTTATATATATAGGCTATAATCTAGATAACCTCTAGCTACTACTAATATTAATAGATATAATAGATACCTTATAGGCCTTAAAATAACACTCTAAGAATACCTTTTTACTAGTAACAGTTAAATCTATAACCTAGTTATCTAGATATCTAACCTCCTTATAATAGGCCTACTTTAATAAGCTAAAGATAGCTATATCTAGAGGCTAGAGGACAGTAGAGGTATATAGCAGTAGAAATAGTAAATATATATTATACTACTAGTATTACTATATAAAATTAATAGTTATATAGCTATAATGCCTATTAAGAACTAGTAGTCTAGCCTCCTCTAGCTAGGTAGGCTTAGTGTATAAGATAAAGACCTTCTCTAGCTATTTAAGGGTAGTATTATTAGTTATTTAGCTATTATTAGTTACTATAAATTACTATAGCTTATATATATTAAGGTTAGATAAGAACTACTAGGCCTAAAGTAATTTACTTTTATATATAACTAAGGGGGGTAAAAAGCTACTAGTAGCAAACACACACTTAATAATAGATACCTATGCCCTAGATCTTAGCTGCTTTTTCTAGATATATTATAATGCCTTAGAGCCTAGCACTAGCCTATTACCCCCTTTACCTTTTATAATACTAGTCTTATCTATATTCTATCTATTAGATAGATAGATCCCCTAGATAGTAGGGATACTACTAAGGTAATAGAAGAAATCCTAGATAACCTTAGGGGAATAGGCTGCCTATTACTAGGTATTAATTACTTTAAATTAAAGGGTTCTAATAGATAGATTTTAGCGTATAAATCAGGCTATCTATTTCCTCCCTATAGGAGGATACCTATTGCTTATTATACGCTCTACTAGGCCTTTTACTTATTAATAGTTAACGTATCTACTAAGGGACTATTAAAGGGTAATATAGGCAGCTAGATTATCCTCCTAGGCCTAGGATAAGTGCTGCCTATCTTTAAAGGCAGTATTCCTACTTTACCTACTAAAGTATTAATACTAAAGTGTTATATATAGTATACCTTATCTATAAGTAATAGCCTAAAGGCTATACTACCTAGACTGCACATCTAGGAGGGCCCGTTAGAGCTTATCTTTAGAATATTGCTTTATAATAGTTTAAAGAAGGTATCCTGAAAAAATGGCGTTATTTAGCGATAAATAGCAATTATTATGATAGTTTGAAAAAGGTAGTGGTGTTGATAAAGGAGGGGAAATGCGGGAATTTCAGGTGGTTCGGATGCGGGGGTGGTTCGGATATAGGGTGGGGGAGTTATTGCATATACTCCCCTCCTCTTGGGGTATCCGACCGAGATATTCCCGTACTCTCTGCGGTCGAAGGGCATCGCGCTCGAGCTGTTTGCGATCCATAGATCGTTGATCATCGCCGCGTTTGTCAACCCGATCGGGCTCGAGAATATCGGATGGAGATACTACATCGTTTTCTGCTGTCTATTGGCGGCCTTCTTCGCTGTTACGTGGTATTTGTTTCCCGAGACGAAGGGGCACAGTTTGGAGGAAATCGCCGTGATCTTTGACGGACCCCAGGCCGTTGAAGACTTCGAAGGCAGCTCTGACTCAAAGGAGGAGAAGATCCTAGCCAAGGGCGATATTCATGATGTTGTACACAAGGAAAGGGCATAGAAGGCCGATTTACTCGTAATCACACTACATTCAGAATGACGAGAAGCTGCGCCGTGGGCGGCAATGCTCGGGGCTTCAAATGATTGTTCCGGGTGCAGGTTATGCAAAGTTGATGCGAATGCTATCCGGTATGCACTGGTACCGGACGACATGGATTATTGGACCTGAAGACTCTGCTGCGTGTTTGAACTTGCCCAGGCGTCCTCCACAGAGACATCTGGTTCTTGTGTAAGCCCTAGCGTTATCCTCATTCTATCAAACGATAGCTGCGACCTTCACGATTGATGATCGCGAGAGGTTCCAACTGTAGCTTCGTTTCGTCCCACAGCATACTTCCGTACAGAAGCAGCATTGGGCCGATCCTATCCGATCTTCGTAACCTGCCACGGTCGAATGGCACCGGACGGAGTTCAAATTGCATGGATATTTCATCATCAATCCCCCTGATCGCGATGGGTTATCTTGTCGATCGCTGCAGCACAAGCACATGCGTGTGGAGAAGAAGGCGGGGTTCCTTTGGAGTTGGAACGTGGAGGAGGAGAAGCATGCGCCCGTCTCCGCATCTCACCTCACCTTACGCACCCGATCTCGCTCCTCTCCGTCCGTCTTCTCATGTAAGATGTGCCATGACGCTCTGCCGGGACGGATCACACTCGCCCTAACCAACACCGAAGGCCAAGGCTATGCTGTACGGCCGACATCAGTCTTCCGAGTCCGTACTGCCATTGCAAGCTACCCTTGGAGCCCTCTGAGAAAGCCGACAGTTTCAACTGACCCGGAGGATGTCGTCATCAGGCACCGCGGATGACAATCCACCGTCGGCTTCTCGGCCAACGAACCTGGGCTCGATGAGCGCAACATTTGCTGCCGATCAAGCCTGCAAGGAATGCCGGAGGCGGAAGGCCAAGTGCGATCGGGCACTTCCGACATGCAACCTATGCGTCAAGTACCGCCGCCACTGCTTATACGAGAAGCACGCCCGAACACCACTGACCAGGAAGTAAGCACTCTCTATTATACGGCTTATGAACGGCCAATTCGGAGGTAGTTGGCAGCGGGACTGACATTATGCAGACATCTCACCGAAGTAGAGGAGAGACTGGAACGTGCAGAGGCTCTCATCACCCATATGCGGGCTCTCATGCCGACTCATTCCAGACCGATATCTTCAATGACTAGGCAAAGGACCTCGGATGCATCTGCCCCGAAAGATGATTATTCCTTTGACTTTTCAAGGTTGGATAGGCCAGCCTTGATTGATTCGCCCTTCCGTCCGGACCCTGTCTCTCCTGAGCCCGGCATCGTTCCTCATATCGAGGATGGAGGTGAGAGACAGCCACAGCTACCCGAGACTTCCTTGCGTGTTCCACCAGTCCATATGCCATCCTCAACTAGTTACTCGGACTCGAATCTCGAGCATACACGAGCGTATAGAACGGCCCGTCACCATCGTCAACCAGTAAACGATGCGACACACAGAGACATTAACCTTCTCGAAGCGCACCCTACCGATGACTTCGAATGGGACGAGCAAGATACTCTCACAAACTACTCGGCCTCACCCGAAGCGACACTTGAAGTCGATAGGAATGGCGATGCCGGCACGGATCCTATAGCAGACGGCATGGCCTCGTTGGCAGTCAGCGAGAAGGAATCGGGATACCTCGGTGTCGCCTCTGGAGCAGCCCTGCTAAGGCTTCTCGAGCCCTCAACTCCCAAACGTCGAGCTCATTCGTCGTCCTCGAGGACAGGTCACATCAATCTTACACAGTCCCCTCTTACTACACAACTAGACCTTAACAGGCACATCACAGACGCCATGATCGACGCGTATTTTCGGCTATACCATGTCAGCTACCCAATAATTCACGAAGCAACTTTCCGAGCACAGTATGCGGGCGTGATACCTAGGCCGTGTGGTGACTGCTGGCTAGTTCTGGCATACACCGTTGCTGCCATTGGCGTCTATACCACGGCCACCAATCTCGATAACATGGACATGCACTTGTTCGCCCAAGCCCGTTCCATCCTGTCTTTCAACTTTCTGGAAGTAGGAAACCTTACTCTTGTCCAGGCGCTCACACTCATCTCCAACCATCAGCAGAAGAGAGACAAGCCCAATTCGGGATACAACTATCTCGGAATGGCCGTGCGGATGGCAATGGGCTTAGGTCTACATAAAGAGTTTCAAGGGTGGAACATCTCGCCACTGAACATGGAGATCAGGAGACGCGTGTGGTGGTCACTCTGCGTCTTTGATGTCGGCGCAACCATCACCTTTAGTCGACCCTCAGTTTGGCCGTGTGAAGGCGTCGAAGTATCCTTGCCTCTGAATGTTGACGACAAGGTAATATCACCAAATATGGAGCCGATGACATGTCTCTACTAATATCCTCGCAGTCTTTGACTGCCATCTCAAAGTCGTACCCTGCCGAGACACGAGATATCACCCCCTACACGGCAGTACGAACTCAGGCAAGTTTTCACATCGCCACGACGCCCATATACACAAGGGTCATCTCGAAGCCACTGCCAACTGCGAACGAGATGCCCAAGCTCGACCAAGAGCTTCTCGAGCCGTGGCGAACCGGCGTGCCATCTTACTTCTCCGAGACTGCAACTGTATCACCTAAGTATGTCCTCGCTCATGCCGTCATGAACTGGAGGTGCAGAAACCTTCGGGTCATTATGTACCGACCGTTCGTGATCCGTCGAGCTCTCCAAGCCCGTGATAGGAGATTGGACGATTCCCCCGATAACGTTCAGGCTTTTGAAAAGTGTCTCGCAGACGCGAAAGCTACCATTACTAGCATCAGCGAATTCTGGGAACGTAGCGAGAAAAACAGATTGTCAGCGTGGTATGCTTTGTAAGTCATCCCTTTCGTCGAGACATCTCTTCCTCGACGTGCTGACTCTACCCTAGATACTTCCTTTTCCAAGCAGCCCTCATCCCCTGCATCTGTCTCCGCAACGATCCCAACTCGAACAATGCCGCAGACTGGCGAGAGCAAGTCACAACAACGATCCGCTGCATAGTCGCTTTAGCTCCCGTCAACTCCAGCTCTCCCCGCTGCTACCAAGTCATCATGGACCTTTGCGGGAGGTTCCTCAACGACGACGCTGCCGCCGCTCGTGTTCTGGCGGCACACCCTCGGGTGCAAACCGCGGCGATGTCCGGCTATGAGCCCAATACGGTCCCAATTGGTACACCTGATCCGATAGATGAGAGCCCTCAGACGCAAATCAACAGCGTCTTGTCAATGATGTGGCCCAATGTCCCCCCGATGGAGGCCGCCGACGTCGTCATGGGCGACGATGCTTGGATGGAGTTTCTCAAAAGCGGGACAAGCGGTGACGGGGATGGAGTATGGTTCGGGAGTTGAAACCCGCTTGCTCTCCCTCTCCGTCGATGTTCAATGGGCTCACTTATATGGCTAGCTATCTGCCGAGCGTATGGGAATTGCACTCAACTGCTGTGACAGATCTCCTGGACGGCTTGACCGCGTCTTCACAATCATCACACAAACGAGCATTTCGGCATTAAGCCACCGCAAGGAAGAATCTCCAAGTTACTAACAGAATTTGAACGGACCGCTAAAGAACACGAAATACCCTTACTTCGCGAACAATCCAGACGTCCAAATCATCCGCCTTACACCCGTCGTCATGCTCAACGAATGAAGACGCGGTAAGGGAGGGCAGGGACAGCAATTCAGGTTGCAGACCAACTTTTCTCTAAATTATGGCTCGTTTGATCCGTGCCGCACGCGAAGACGGGATTCAAGGATATTTCACTGGTGCTTTGAGTTATCAAATGCCTTTCCTCGTTTCATTTACCATCATTTTCGCGGTCCGCAGGGATGGAACCAAAACAAGGAGAGGGTATCAGATTTTGTCTATCCTGAAGTTCCCAAGAGGCTTGCAATATGATTGATCCTAAACCTTCGCTGCAGAGCCTGTGTTTGACTCGGACAACCATGGCTGTCTGTCTGATCACCTTCCCTAAACTGGCCAATCTCAGACTCGGTTCAGAACCTCCTGCAAGAGCATTGGCAAACCCAGCTACGTGTCTCTGGAAGCTGGCTGGGTTGGAAGCCATCCAAACCAGGCCATGTAATCAGGCTGACGCAATGCATTTGGCGAGGCATCTCGATCCCTCTGCAGCCAGAGCTCACGAGAACGAGAGCCCAAAAGGATCAAGTCATATCCAGGGATCATTGACGTGGCAGATTGACAACGACGGCCAGGAGAAGTCAGGTGTTGAACTCCCTATACCAGATCATCACTGTGCCTCATCCATCGGAGTGACCAGGGAGCCAATAGAGACCTTACATTGGGGGTATCTTAATCTATCCCAGCCCGCCGATCTGGATCATCGACCGCACTGGGAGAACCTCAGAGTCACCACGCAGGACTCACCGATGAGTGGTCGAGGTGTGAGTGTCTGGTGACAGAGGCGCGTCCTGATTGGCACCGCCGTTATCCAAATGGCCTTCAATATCCATCAATAGCACCCCCAGATGGCCGTCTTTCCTCCGCAGCAGGGGCGAAGCATCTGAGTTGGTTGGATGGGAGACAAGGCTCGCTTGTTCCAATCAAAAATCAACCCCTGACGTTCAGCGTGGCGAAGGTGGAATGGAAATTTCTGCTTGCCACAGGAAAAAAGCACATCACGAGCTCGGTCTCGAAACGTTGCCAAGGGGAATCCTCAACAATCCCAACCGCTTCTAGAAACACTCCCGTCAAAGACACATCGCCCAAATACCTGTCTCATCGCCCATCCCGACAATCCGTTCCGTACAGGGCCCCTACTAGCTTTTCTCCCTAAATGCAACGTAAGGCCATCCAACGTCGCAGGTGTGTGGCCCTTTCCCCGGGCGTCCGACATGGAGCATCGTCACCAGACCCCCCCTTGGAGGAGAAATTCCCCCAGGATTTACGTCGTCCATGCCACGTCTCTGGGGAGGCCGCAAGATAGATGGTGCGGTTGTCTTTAATGTTACCAAGCAGCAGGTACGGGGCATGGCCATCGGCAGATGCTCCCATACGATGCAGGCAGTCTTGACTTGTGTGACAGTGGTCACTGGCTCAGGATCTCGATGCCTCTATATTGCAAGGAGACGATCGTTTTGCCGGCGCACTTTTTTCCGAAGGCGGCGGAGGATGTACTTCCCCTGACTTATGAGATCATGATCCCGATTCTTGACAGCCGACACAGGGGCATCTCCCTTTCGACCTCCGATCTTTTTCTGATTTTTGCAGCGAAGGATTATGGGTCATGAGGCTCTCACCGCCTATCACGACTACGCAGGGGCGATGCCGCAGAAGTCACTGCAGACGAAGCGATGCGCACGAGACGTGCATGTTTCTGCATGCTTCGCCCCTGGTGTACATCACTTCGCCAGCTATGATAACTGAGAGGCTCCCCACGCTGCCTGCCAGCCTGCGGCCCAGCGACACATCAATATCCGCCCTACTGCTCCTGGTTTGTGTGTGTGTGTGTGTGTGGCGATGAGGCAGCGGCGTTTATCCGTTGGATTCAGCCTAAACGACGCGAGCTCCCGAGCCAGTAGCTGACGGCCGGACGAGGACGTTCTGCTCCGCCCGTAAATCCCCCCTGTCGGCACAGCACCCCCAGGGCTCCTGGAGGAATGAGAAAATATTCTCTTTGGTCATCAGATGTAAATCCCGCTGCCAAATTGCTGGGACGAGATGGACGTGGCTGCTGTGTGCCAGAGCACGCGGAGATGGCATGGCATGGTATGAACGGCACGTAGTGGGTGTGGTAATGTAGCTTCTGGACGGCACAAGTTTTTGGAAGATTGATGCGATTCCTGCAAGAGAAATTGATTCTTTATCGAAAACCACAAAAGGAAAAGGAGAGAGAGAGAAAAGAAGCCGTCTTACAGTACACGCCCAGCGTTCGAGCACTTGGGCCCCGTCATTGCCAAATCTGGGGTGCAGGATTCCCAAAGTGTGACCCCATGGAACACTTCAGCCCTGTCATGACGGCATGTTCAGCAAAGTTTATTCAAAAAAAAAAAAAAAAAGAGAATATTTCCAGTTTTTCTTATTGGATATTTTAGTCCCAAGATGCAGGCATGGAGACAATTAGGCTGGCCTCCGTCAGTCACGGAAGCTGGAGTCGCCTTTCCTGATAGTCCGTGGTCCAACTCGTTCCGACGGAGGATCGAAACTGCGGGAGGGAAATGAAACATACTCTCATAATCAAGATACAATCTCTTCGCTGGTAACGCTGCCGAGGCACCTGGCCCGCAATCCCGCGCCCAGGGTTGTCCAAGAAGTCATCCGATACATCACTCCTCACCGGGGACCGGCACCCCTGACACCTCGGTCAACCGGTAGCCACCCTTTTTTCGACTTCGTCAGCGGAAGGATTTCCCAACCAAGTCAAATCCCGCGCGCAAGTCTTGGCACGCCAGGGTCTGCTCGAGGGGCCGGGCCGAATGGCGGCTGGAGAGGACATAGGATGACGATCACCCCGTGAAGCAAAGTCTTATTGCCAACTGCTAACCTGAAGGCCGAAGCAGAACGTAACAAGCAGGACGGTACCGATACATAGTAGATGTTCAACAGGGCTCGAAACCTCTTGCCAGCTTACGCCCCCCCCTCTCTCGCTTTGATATCTTTCCGGGTTCTCCATGCCAGTCGCGAAAAGTCCAGCCTGCACCCCCCTCAGGTAGCACAAATCTGGGGGCGGGACGGCCGGCCAAGTGACCTCTCGCATGCTTCCATGATGTACAGCGGTGCCCCGAAATAGACAAGATCTGACCCATCGTGATACCTTTCGCATTTCCCTCCAGTCGTGACGCCTGGCACCGCCGTTCGTCTCACCTCCCTTCCCCCACGAGACATATACCCTGGCGGAGGCGGCCCCCCCACCCCGCGCGCGCCGTGAGAGGGTGGACCGAGAATCGTATCTCCATCCCGTGCCTCGAGGCAGAGCCTTGCTGCGGGTGTGAAGCACGCATAATCACCACGCAACACTACCGGCCCTGCTGAACGACGCCGTCCGAGGCTGACCTCCGTGACACAGCGTCCCCGCCCGGCTCGGGTTGCAGCCTCGGCTGGCTGCGAGATGCGCCGGGCCGCGCGATCGCTACTAAGCTTGTGGTATTGGCTTGTACCGTTGCACCTGGGCCTCGTATACTCCTTTCCTCCGCTCGTTTTGCGCCCCCTGTGGCCCGTCTCGGAGCTCCGTATGCCGGCAACCCATATATTTGACAGCACAAACGTGGCTGATGACTCACTTTCGCATGTCTCCAGGATCATTTCAAGACTTTTGGAGGTATCGGGAAGGATGATGCGAGGGATGCCGTTGGAAACCGGTTTCTGGAGCCAGTGTGATACAGCGAATCCGACTTCGTTGCACAAGCTTTTTCACATGACCTCCAAAACCCTGTCTTGTGCGCCCTGAAATGGTCTTGGGATTCATCCTGGGATTTCAATGACGGGAAACCAAAGCCGGCGAGCTTTGGTGTCGGCCAGGATCCCTCATCGTGGAACCCATCCTCGAATGCGTTACAGTCACTGATTCGTTCTTTGTGTCCTATATTGAGTAAACTTGCATCCGTGCCTCGTATTCAAGATACTGCCCTTTTCCGGATAGAACCAGTATCTCACAATACTGCCATAGCTGTACCCCCCTTTCAAGGACGCATAGACAGCGGGCTCTTTCGAATCCGGCCGGTTACGTGCATTTGCCGCTCAGGGGAGCTCCCAGGCACCCCGCGTTAAGTCTTGGTGTTCTTGCACCCAGTCTCACAACGAACGCCGATGACAGCATGCTTGAGATCGAAAACACCGTTTCAGATTCTCACGTTGCATATTCCAAAGCAGTTCTCTGTTTGATTTGGTGACAACGAACCCATCTACCTTGGGCCATGAGCCGTCGCACGACCGCTGCTGATTCACAACTAACAGTGTCTCCATCGTCCAAAACACGTGCGTCAACTTCAAAAGGTTTCGAGTATCGGCATAAAGCCGCTGTGAGCACCGCTTTCCCACAAGGCAAGTTATGCCGAGAGATGCCATCAAGCATTCAAAGGTGGGATGGTTACATGCCAAGGGGCCAAAAGCTGTGTGTCCAAGACAGCAATAGTTCGAGAGATGGACTTCTTGCTATTGGAGAGGTTTTGAAGTGTCAGCGTTTGGCTGGCTTACTACTGACCAGGAGGAACATCATCACATATTGCTACCTGGGACGTATGATACGAAGGGGTTGTGAAACGAACGCATTGCAACTGTCAGCATGGAATCATGGCTTAGCGCCAACATTGGCCTGGTAAACAGATTGACGTCTCGCCGTCTGATATTTCTAATACCTGGACGTCTTTGGTGACCAGCGAGAGTGGTGTCAATGGTCTGTCTCTGTGCTCTACGTTGACGTGCAACCACATACAAGCTGCAGGTTCCATATTACCTCGCCGAAATGATCAGGTATGTTGAAAAATATTACTGGACTGGGATATATCACAACTCCGTGTGAGTTCCCAAGCTCGATTACAGTCTGATGCATAGAGCGCCACTACGGTGAAGATCCTACGATCAACAGCCACCCGCGCAAATCACGGATCCTTCCGGATCCTGTCATCTTCCATAGTCAATATACACCGCAGCCATGCCTTTTTCTCATGCTCACCGACGTTGCAGAGAAAAGTGTTCACAGTCTTGGTTTCGTCAGCTACCGTCTGACCACCCCCCACACCGCGATCCAGGGCCGCGGGGTCAGCATCTTGCATCTTCACCGGTAGGCCTACTCCACGCTTGCACCCTCCTCACCTTTCCTCACCTGTCGGGCAATGTGGGGGTGGATCTCGGTTCGCGACAAGTTGTGGTCAGCAAAACCCACGCCAACCCTTCTGCCGTCAGAAAAATCTTACTCAGAAGCATATGAGTATCAAAGGAGCCGAGGGTTGGTGTGGGGAGGGACGAGAGCAAGCGAACGATATGCCCCCCCCCCCCCCCTCCCTGCTGATTGACGTCGGCTGCCTAATTCCCACTCAAACCCAAGCGCTTCACATCTACGGCGGAATGCCTTGTTGCAGACTGCTTGGGTGAAGCCATGTCAATGGTGCTGTCAACTCATTAGGACGGGACTCCTTTCGGTTGCTGCGCCTCGTACAGGCTCACCTGATGCCCCATTGACCGAGGTGCCTCAGTCCAGCCGCAGCATCATTTCGCCAACGCATCTATCACGCCCAGCCTCACGCTCAAGGTGTTGTAATTTGGGGGTTCGAATGTCACGTTGTGCTGACGGTCATTCATCATCGCCCGCGGCCGCGGCCCGTCCCCCAACCCCTCCACCAAGACACCAATCTCTCTCTCTCTCTCTCTCTCTCTCTCTCTCTTCGTTAGCCCGTGATTACCATCGCCCACGCCGACCGCGGGGTAAAACAGAAAACAACACAGAAAAAGCGAATCGCGGCCAACGACAGAGCAGCTGGTGACTCAGCTGAGCCATTCCGTCCGCTGCCGCACCAGGGGAGGGGGGCGCGTGGGGGGGAAGCTGACTTCTCTTGCAGTTTGCTGGCGCAGACCTGCGGAGAATATCCCGAGGCACGCAAGCTTTGTCGACAAATCCAGGACGCACCAGGGAGACCGTAGGCTAGCCGTGAGCTGATGCGAATTTCAGCCTGACCGCGACGCGTGATTGAGTGTCCTCATGTTCGAGCCCGGAGCGGCGGCGGCGGCGGCGGCGGGATTTCACATGCCGCTCGGGAACGCAGTTCCTGCAGTAGACGTTGGCCCCGGGCTGTCTGAGCTGCTCACCGCATCTCCGTGGACCCTGAGTCTCTCCCGTATTAGCAAAGAAGCAGATGCGTATGACTCCCTCTAGCTCTCAGTTGTCTCTCAGACGAGTAAGCGGTCTCACAACGTAACTGCGCAGAGCCAACTCACCAAAGGTAACCAGCATCAGTCTAGTCGAGTTGACAGGAACAAGTGACTGATTCGGTGGGCGGCTAACACTGGTAGTGCGGGGTGATGTCTTCCCCCCTCTCCCGGCTTTGGGTAGTCACATTCGCCGGCAACCGTTGAAAGAGACAAGCGCGCGGTGTGGCTGGTACGGGGACTAATGAGATACCGAAAGAAGGCACATCTGATCTGGTGGTGTGAGAGGTTTGGCCTATGCCATCCTTTCTAGGTTTCCCCGTATCCTTCTGAATGGGCCAGCTCGTCCCTTACTCCGCGGTGGCGCAAGTCAGCAGCGCCGGGATAAGTATATGGACGAGCAGCCGGGACCGAGACACGGCAAAAGAAGAAAAAAGAAAAAAGAAGGCATGGTTACGACCTGGCCGAGGTTGCATCTGCTCCCGCTGGGCCGTTCTCGAATATTGTCTCTTGTTTCCCTCCACCGCGCGTGACGACACTTGGCATTGGAGGCTGAAGGGTCTCGTGGAAATAAATGGAACGAGAAGATTACAAATCTGCCCGAAATGGGAATAAAATCTATAGACGGAATTGGAAGCCAAGGCCGGTCTAGGGTGTCTGTCACTCGACACAAGGTGCTACCGCAACTAACCAGCAGTTGTGGACGTTTCCAGTACTCTCTATGTGGGCCCAAGGCAGAGCGTCAGGCAAGATGGACAAGCGCCGCCGTAAGAGTGATGATGCTTATTTTGAGCGGATCATATGGAGTGGAGGGATTCACCGTCTTGCATTCAAGCGACGAGTCAGCCAAGTGCAGGGAAAAGACGTGTGGGTTGTAGTGATGCGATGCTGAAGCCTGAAGCTGCATCTGCATCTGCATCACAAACACTAGCAGCCAGAAGACTCAGCCAAATGGCAACTCAATGGTGTGTGTAGAAGCGTGGTGGATGGTTTACCCTCTCAATGTCACCCACCCGCACTCGGCGTGTAACAGACTCTCGAGAGACTTGCGTGTTGTTCTTTCTTCGAGTATGCCAATGCCTGCAAGGAACTGTTTTCCATAAAACAAAACACGGCAAGCTGATTGACCCCGAGGTTTCTGTTTGAAACAAACGGAAAACCTGGGATAGCAACCGTAGACCCGGTGGGGGTGACAAGCAATTCCCCTTTCCGTTCCGCAAACGGAATTCCATCCCGTCAGGCCGCTGGGGAGTCATGAGAACAAACGACGGGATCACGTCTGCAACTAGCCTCAGTAAAGAATGCGTGACAATAATACCCACCGTGAAATATAATGAAAAATAAAATAAAAAAATAAACATGATTTTTTAGGATCAACCGGCACACCCGCTTATTTTCCAATGGAAATGGTGCTAGTTCCTTCAGTCAGGGTCCGTTTTGGCAAACACCATATTCCCCGTCCCAAGTCAGGGATCACGGCCCCAAGTTCACCGCAGTTTGCAAAGCTGCCAATGCAGGCGTTGCCCGTCGTTGCCATCGCCGTCATCTGCCCTGTCGGCCGGCCGCGGGAACTTGGCCCAAAGGACCACACGAGCAATCAACGAAGGGTGCGAAGAGGGGAGGGGGGGTGCGATGGTTGGGCAGAGGCCGAAGCGACGACGACACCACCATGACCACGCTCAACATGAGCACATGAGGCAAAAAATCCCGGGGGAAGTTCGCAGAGGCCCACGTTCTCGTGGTCTTCCCCTCTCTCCAGGGCTGAGCAGCACGACATCCGCAGGCTTCCTTTGCCCACCTTTTACCAGAACGCGGAGGGATGGGCTTGGCGAAAGGAGAGGGGGGTGGTCGGGGTTGTGGTTGTGATGGTCCTAGGACCCGGTCTTGGTATTCTGTCCGTGTTCGTTTCGCCATCGTCCAGAAACCGGAACGGGGGCCGCACGAGAAAACAAGAACTTTGACAACATTTCACCCGGAGGGAACTTGGCCGCCTTGCTGACGAGAAGAGCAACCGGAGCCGGTGGACAGGCAGACCCTGAGTCGTGCTCTCGAGATGGAAGAGGATCGCAGTGGGTGTGGGTAATGGGAGGCGCGCGTGCGCCCTGATTTTCTTCTCGCGAAACCGCCCATCTTGGAACGGCCGCGCAATAGTGCGCAAGACTCGGATGACGATGGCCGAGAAACAAGTTCAGGGTCTACACCTTGACGACGCCGACCAGGAAGGGGTCAAGCATGGAAATATAGAAACTCCAATTCCTTGATCGCGTTGCGAGCGCGACTGCATCCGTTACGGAAGACGTTCCGGCAAAGTAACGATAGCATTCCGGCGTTCCTCTTGTCCCGTTCAGCATGGGCATCCGCATTCCGGCCTTGTATTTGTGGTGCCGTGCAACCTGTTCATTGACGGCCTGGTGTGGTTCCGCATACGGTGGATTCTCATGCCACCCCCGATCGGATTTCCTGATGCAGAAACCACTGTATCGTGGCTTTGTTCTTTCCATCAAACTCCCCCCTCACCTCTTCAGCCTGGACGGTGGTGGGGGTCTGGCATTGTGGACGGCAGCCGACTAGTAGGACAAAGGCACGATGGCACTCGGTGCAACTACGGTGGTGACGGCAGCTTACGGAGCGGGCCCCGAAAGTAGACCAAGGTTCTCCTTGTCCGAGACTAGACCCAGCCTTGCTTCCTTGGAGTCGAGTCCACCTTCAGGGACGAGAAACCGTCCAAGTCGGGTTCCGTTTGTCGGTTCTTCTGCTCTTTTCCGGACGCTGCGTGTCCGTCCAGTTTGATCTCGGCATGTCACGGCCATCTCCAAACGCAACAAAGAGGAGGCCGTACAGAAACGCGCAAAGATGCAGGGGGTTTGCGTAATGAGCGCCCTCTCACAGGCCGGGAGCGCTTGTGTCTTCAGGGATCCGCCGTCAGGGAGCATTGGACTACTTTCACTGGATCTTGCCGTGATGACCAGGTCTGATCAGGTCCCACCTCTTTCGGTTTTGCTCGGACAATACGCAGAAAAGAGGGGGGGGGGGGGGGGGGGGGGGGAATACGCCCTTCGAAATGTTATAAACCCCATCAGGCATTGTGTCGTCGCACGTCGTTAAAATCACTGCTCTGTGTGCAATACCTTTGGTGGTCTAGTGTGTTAGCTATTAGTGTGCGATGGCCTACCTTACGTCCCACATGGGACACTAACGCTCCAGCATGGGATTACTATCGTGTAGTATGCGTGTGTTCGCTGCTGGGGCACAGAAATAACCGCTCTTAACGTTTGCCCAGCCGTCGAAGAGTGTGAGCAGGGCCCATGCTAGAGCCACCGGTTAGTAGGAGGGGTATATAATAAGGGGATTTTAATAGGTGACCCGGAGGTGGAATATGGGTTGGCCTGTTGATTTTTTTTTTTTTTTT